ATCTGAGCGTAAAAGCAAGGCGACACCACCCCCTTTTCTATTCTGGCGATCACAACGGAGAGCAAGGTAACCAGGAGGCGTGAATTTCATCGTGAAGCCATGTTTTCGTGATGCATATAACATGAGGAGAACATGAAGAAACTAGCGAAAAAAATTGGGGGAATTTGTTAGTAATGGTTCTGGCATTAACAATCAAAAACACAAGATCGGAGGCGGGTTGATAGGACGGTCAAGGCAGTGATGCAGATGCGTTAGTCGTTCTGGCATTGCTGTCAGAACCACGAGCTATTATTAGTCTGTCTGAGGGGCCATCCCAATTATACCGAACGTTATCGATAAATAAATGATCAAACCTCATCTTGACAATTGATTCGTTATTACGATGCTTAGCTGAAGCGTCCCATAGCTTTTTACGTATGGCGCGTACTTTCGAGGAAAAGTCTTTGGACAGTTTTATAGCAGAATTTTTCAACTTGTAAGCATTCTTTAGCAGTAATAGTTTGTCGTTGAAATCTAGCAATTCCAGAATGACAGGCCGAGAACGTCCAGGACGTGTTCTACCTAACCTATGGGAACGTTCAACACGCGGACAATCAACGGCAAGCCTGTTGAACACGTTCACTACCTTGGAATGCAGTGTGTCACGATTCTCATCCTTATCTTCTGGTATACCATGAATAATGATGTTGTTCCTTCGCGAACGGTTTTCAAGATCATCAAATTTAGCCGTTATGTCAGCCACTGTGCGTTTTAGAGTTTGGAACGAAGCTGCTCGGAATCTTGCTTAGTCAGAGCTTTGGAGCATGTTTGTTCGAGAGCAGTCACACGCAGTTCCAAGGCGTTAAAATCTGTCTTCACAGTATTTTTTATTTCGCATATGTCTTGCGATAAATTTTTCTGGCAAGCAACTAAATCGGAAAGAACCTTCACGAGGGAAGGATTATCACAATCTGACACTACCAGCTCAACCGATGACTCAAGAGCGCTTAGGGAATATTCACGTGACTCGTCAGGTTTACTCAATTTTGAAGCAGCCACTTTCTTTGGGCCTGGGTTAAGCTCAACGTCCCCGCTCAGGAGTAGCCAACTGAGGCAATCAACGATATGGGAACAGTAACACAAAAGACCGATACGCGAATAATCATGTGGGCAACACAGCAGCAGCAAGAATCGATCATCAGGCCGAATACAGCATGAATTGTCGAGGTAGCATACCTGTGCAAACGAGAAGATGCGTTTAGGCTACATGCCGAGGCTGCTGCTGCTGCTGCTGCTGCTATGACTCGGCATAAATGAGAATGTCATCCAGATAGGCACGGACTACACATTGCTCAGGCCTGGGCTGCAGGCCTTGAAACACATTTTGTATAATTGCTTGAAAAGTAGCTGGAGCATTTTTCAGTCCAAATGGCATGCGCGTCCACATGTATGTGCCATAATGTGTAATGAATGCTTTCTTCTCGTAGTCTTGTGGGTGTAAACCCACTTGCCAATAGGCACATTTTAGGTCGAGGGTAGCAAAGTATGCGCAACCTGATATGTCCTGGATGATGTCGTCTACCTAGGGCAACGTGTGCACTACAGTGATTGGGCGTTCATTCAAAGGCTTATAGTTCACACACAAACGCGGGTCAGCACAACAACCGGAAAAGCCCCCAGGGGCCTCAAGCCGGGAGGATGGTGCCTTGGTGGAGCAACGTCACCTGCATTTCCGAAAACTGCCTGTCTTCTGCAGAGTACCCGTATGGGCTCCGACTGTATGGTAACGCATCAGGTAGCAGGTCAACGCGGTGTTGCATACCAGTGAAGCGGCCAAGAGCGTCATCATGGCGAGCGAAAACTGTGTTGTGCTTGGCTAATATATCTTTTATAGCTGACTGCTGGCTTAAAGTGAGCTGGGTGCCAATGCGAGCCGCCAATAGAATTTTGGGATAAATATGCTCGAGCACAGTGTCAGAGGCGAGGGTAGTTGACACTTGAGGGGCATTACTTGAGGGCAACATTTGTGCTGTTAATGCTTGCCATAGTTGTTGCTCCGGCAATGGCAAAGGATCGTTGTAAGCACTCTTTAGAACTGGGCTTGGCTTCAGGAAAAAGGACTGGCCTTTTTGGGAGCACTACGTTTGCTATTCTTGGGACTAGCTTTTGATTTGCGGTAATGATGATGTTCGTGGCAGTGTCCTGCGATTGTGTTGGCTTTGGTGGCTTGAAAATAAGACGTGCCTGAGCTGTTGTGAACCAGTCCTCACCAAGGATGCGGGGGAGCACATTATTTTGTAAAACAGCTGCTTCCACCACTCCAGTTGGTTGGACCAATAAAGATTTTCAAAAATACAGTGCTTCCTCCTACCACGGTCAGAGGGGGCTCTGTTCATGGGCTGATCATGCTCGCGGAAAGGCTTTAGTGATGAGAGTCACCTTAGAACCAGAGTCCGGAAACTCTTCATGCTCACTGACTCCACTAAGAATTGAGTAGAAAAAGGGGCATTGCTGCTGTTAGACATCCAATGTAACGGAGGCACTGTGCAAGGCAAAAGGGTGCTCTGTCTCGGGTGTGGTTGGACACTCTGACTGTAAGCGGCTAGTGCGTGTAGGGCACTTAGATGCGAGGTGCCCCAAAGCACAACATTTATAGCAGACGACCTGAGATATGGGTCTTGGCCGCTACGAAATGCTGGAGCACCGTACTGCACCAAAACAGTTGCATAAGTAGCTTCTATTTGCTAGGCTGGCAGCTCTGAAATGCGCTTTCTTGATGTGGCCTCTCGGGTGGACTGTGGGGGTGCTGTTTCTGAGCGAGGCTGCTGATGCTTTGCAGGCTTAGCGACAAGAAGAGGTTGCGACTGTGGCAACACAGATCCGGCTAATAGCAAAACGCTTGCTGCGGCATGTCGATGTTGCGCACTCTTGTCAAGGCTAACACAGGCTCGAATGTAATCCGCTATCGTGGGTGGCCGGTTGGCTGCTTTGGCAGCGAGGATGTGTTGTTCCCGTACACCATGTCGCAGATAGCCAATCTTTTGTGCATCAGAGGGGTGAACAGAGCAGCGCTCGAGAATCCTCAACTTGGCAAAGGCATACTGGTGCAAGCTTTTGGATGGGGCTGTGGTTACCCTCATGAGTTGCTCTTGCAACTCTATGAGGGACACTTCAGTACAAAATGTGACCTTCAGGGCGGCACTCCACGTAGCCCAGGAGCTGTATAGATTGCCAAGCGCGAGATCCCAGTCTCGTGCCGTGGCTTTGAGCTTGCTAGTTGCGATCAGAGGCTTGGTGGCGTCGTCCAAGGATGCGAGCTGCTGCACTCGCCGTACATCGTCGAGCCATATGTTGACACTGTGGCTGGGCAATCCGGCAAATTGTGGGATCGAAGATGAGAGGTCAGGCAGTGTGGTCACCATTGATGCAGGTCGCGGTAGCTGCTGGAAAGAGCTAAGCGAGGCTGTCTAGAGTGGCTGGGTCCAGCGTCAAAGCCCTTCAGGCGCAGTGGCGGACGAGAGAGCGAGAGTCCCGCCTTCACTTGGACTTGGCATTGAATCGTGCAGTGGGAAGCAAGTTTCAAGTTTTTTGACTGGTGGTGCAGTTGACCACATTTTCACTTGTGAAGCTAGGCATTGGGGTTTTCAGGGGCAAAATTGTGGACACCTTTTCCGCTGTGCCATCTGTCTCACAGTGGCACATGATATTGTCATGCAAGAAGTCTGGCTACACGTTCACCTCAGAAATGGGAATGTCAAGGGCCCACTTAACAGTCAGCAGAACCTGGGTATCACGAAAAGGACTAGCTTTGCAAGTGAACACGTGCAGTCAGTCTACTGGTGTTAATAATGAAATGTGCTCACTCTTTATTTTTATGTGAAATTTTAGAGGACCAATCTATATTTGAGTCGACTCGCGATCATGCAAATATGGTACTAAGAGGGCCGCTTGATCCTGCGCTGCCACTGCAATTAGTGGTGACAGGATGACCATTGGTTGAAAATGTTATGTATGGCACATCCTCCTCTTCTTAACTTCAGTAAAAAAATTCAGATCATGCAATCAGCAAAATGCTAGCTTAGCAGTTGCTGCTGCTACTGTCAATCAGACAAACACAAAAGATGAAGGAAACAGAACTCATTGGCAGAGTATAAAATGAAATATTTGAAGAATCTCAGGATGATTGAAAGGTGGGTACAAAAATATGCAATTGTTTTTATTCTTTCTCAGGAGAATATACACAGTGCAAAGCAAAGGTGGCGTGTAAGTTACTGCAATGGCACTTCTCCACTATTCGAGCCCAATGTGCTATTGTGGAGGGCCTGGCTGATGGTGGGGAACTTCAATGTCACAGAAGCCATGATGGACTGCTGGGCATCCAAAGCCCATTCAAGGCACAAAACTGTCATCACTTCAGGCGTGAAGCAGGACTGATGCTTGCCAATAAGGCTTGCTTGTCAGATGTATGCTAACAAAGGGGAATGCTCGCTGACCTCAGAGTTGGGTGTCAATCCAGCTCTCATTTTGTGTGTAAAAAGTTGCCTCATCATGTGACTAACATCTTGTTTCTAGCTGTTGCGATTACAGGTAAAAACAAGAGTTTTGTCTGTGAGTATATAGGGACACACAGAACTGCATATGGAATGCGATTCATTTTGCAACGAACGTCATTGCATGGGCCGTATGCTGCAAAGAGTAAGGTCCTGCGTCAAAAGAAGTAGTTGCTGCATTTCAGTGGTGTCTGTGTGTGATTTCTTGGATGGCTTGCTGTTTTACAAAGGTGATCTTCTATAAAGGGGTTTTGCATGCTTGAAGGGACTACATTCAGAAGCTTCAAATGCAGATGGGTTTTCTACCTAAATAGCAGTGATAACATTGCATCAGACATAGCAGTGATAACATTGCATCAAAAGAAGCTGCTATATGTGCTACTGTGACAGTGTCCTGCGCATGTTTCATTGAGCATTACCTTTCAAAAAAGTGTTCACCTGGTCTTCTTGGTTGTTCCCGTTGTTTGACAGGACGAGCGCACACTGATCTCAACTGCTGTGGGCAAGATTGCATCCTTCTACTACTTGAGCCATGAGACCATGCGCCTTCTCTATGACCAACTCAGTGTTGATGCGTCCATTGAGAAGATACTCTACCTTCTCACCCAAGTCAAAGAGTACTCTGAGCTTCCTGTGCGGCACAATGAGGACCTCATCAATGGGTGAGCGGTGTGTCACATCACGGGCTGGAATAGCATCAACAGCCATCACCACTCCTAACCAGCTAGTCTTACTTTCAAACTGATGGTAGCCGCTGCTACTGGATCCTCCATATTGGTGTGAAACTGCCTATACAGGGATGCAGGGCATTTTGGTAGCTGCTTCGATTTATATGCAGCATTTTTTTTTTTTCTAAATTTAAGTTCATTATAACTGAAGCTGGTAAAAACAAAGTTCTTGCTTCTGACAATATGGTTGGTGCTGCTTTAAAGGCAAACGCTACTATAAAAACACAAATTTTTTTTTCCTGAATGACGTATTTGTGATGTTATTGGGGCAGGACCGCTCCAGAAAGAATCAGACAGCACGCCAGTGCACAAACACACGTCCAACTTCTATTGTACCCTTCACACATGGACAACCCACACATTACGAAGTTCCTAACACAAAAACACGCGGCTAAACTAACTGAATAAGTAGAACGTTCGGCCTACAGTTCAGGTCGTCGGGGTAGTAGCCGGGGCCGTCGTTGATGCCCCGTCGGCAACATTCAGTGGCGAAGTCGACGTTGGGCGGCGTCGTCACCGGCAGTGACGAAGTCGGGAGACGCAGGGTCGCCGCGTCGAACTCCAGTGGCTCAGCGCCACTGTCGACGAACTGGAGCCGACGACCCACGTGTTCCGGCGGCAGGGAGTTGTGCCCTTGAGCACCTGTAGTCCGCCTCGGAAAACCACGCCAGCCCTCCCGGAACAGCGGCGCAAGGGCAGGTTCAGGCACCCGGCGCCAGCTCTCCACGACCAGCGGGACAAGGACAGGTTCAGGAACCTGGCGCCAGCTCTCCTAGACCGGTCGTCTAGCGGAGGCTGAGCTGTCCACTCGGCTAGTACGAGTGTCGCGACGTGGCCTGGGTCGTACCTATGGGCCAGACGCCCAACGAGGTAGTCCTGCCTCGAACGACGTACCTCGCGCACTGCCGAAGGCACGGGTCACCCACGCTCGAGGCCGCGCCTCACGAGCTGTCGTCTTCCTCGTAGGCACCGCCCGGCACATACACGCACACATCACATCCTCTTCGCCACCGCACGGCACACTATTGTCGTTTTTTTAGTTTCTGTTTCGCGCCCGCGCAGCACATATTATGACATCACCCCCTTTTCCGAGAAAGTTGTTTGCAACTATTCTACTACAAGGGCGCGGGGCGAACGAATGGTCACTGCACTGCACGGTCACTGCACGGTCCCTGCACTGCACTGCATTGTCTTAGGGGTCGCATGTACATAGTAGCAGAATGTTCACAGAAGGCTGCTTACAGTTCTGTTGGAAAACTACCGTACAAGTAGGGTTGCTATGTCGCAACTAGGAGTCAACTATTCACGACTGAGGGCTAGTAGTATTAAGAACCACGTTGCTACCTAAACGGCAGTTATGCGCGACTCAAGTAGTCGGCTCCAACATTGTCACAACCTTTGATGTAATGAACTGTGAATGAGTACTCCTGCATAAGGAGACTCCACCTCAACACTCTGTTGTTCACGTGTTTGGCGGAATTTAAATACTGTAATGGTTGGTGGTCTGACTGAATGACAAAAGGTTTGCCATAGAGGTAAATATGAAATTTTTGCACTGCCCAAACAAGTGCAAGGCATTCCCGTTCTATTGTTGAATAGTGGGTTTCTCGGGGCAATAAATTACGACTTGCGTAAGCAACTGGATGCAGCACCTGGCCCTTTCCCATCTGGAGCAATACTGCGCCCAGGCTTGTATTGGAGGCATCCGTACGAAGAACGAACTCCTTCGAGAGGTCGGGAGCAAGGAGGATGGGAGCAAGGAGGATGACTTTTCCTGTCATAATAGGTTTTCTGCTTCACACGAGCCTTCTCCAGCTGTTCATGGGCTATCTTGCAAGTCTCCTCTAGGCGATTGCGCAAATCAAAGACGTAGGTGTAAGTCGTCCGCGTTTCTGCGTCTAGCCCCTCATTTGTCCACAGTTCTCTCAGCACGGTTAGCGGTCCTCGGACGTGGCGGCCGTAAATGAGCTGAAACGGAGAGAACCCGAGGCTTGTCTGTGGAACTTCCCTATATGCAAAGAGTAGCGGAGCTAGGTACCTGTCCCAAGATCGAGGTCTCTCTTGGCACATTCTCTTTAGCATTGTCTTCAGGGTGCCATTAAATTTCTCCACGAGACCGTTCGCCATCGCATGATATGGGGTTGTCTTTAGCATCTTCACGGAGAGAAGCCTGCTAACCTCGTTCATTAATTCTGAGGTAAAACTTGCCCCTTGGTCGGTGACGATTTCCTTTGGCAAGCCGATGCGGGAAAAAATCTCGATGAGTGCTTCCGCAATGTGAACTGCATCGATTGCGGGCAATGCTACAGCGTCAGGGTAGCGAGTCGCAAAATCGATAAGTGTCAGAACATATCGGTTCCCACGGTCCGATCTTGGTGAAAATGGGCCGATTAAATCAACCGCGACCCTTTCAAAAGGTGTCCGGATAAGAGGCATGTTGCCTAGTGGTGCGACTCCAACTTTTCCTTTAGGGGTAGTTCTCTGGCACTTGTCGCAAGACTTGACAAAGCGCTTTACGTCTCCGTTCAGGTCAGGCCAATAAAATTCTTCTAGGACACGATCAGTAGTTCTTTTGATGCCTTGGTGTCCCGCCATGATACTGCCATGAGCAATGTCCAGTATGCCTACCCGGAACGCTTTCGGAGTGACCAGCTGTTTAAACGTCCTGCCAGTGGCAAGGCGGTAGCGTCGATAAAGCAATCCTTTATCTTCGATGAAATCGTAACAGTGGCCCTTTCCCGATTTGAACTCTTTATTCACTTTAGCAAAGACAGCTTTGAGTGTCGGGTCATTTCGCTGTTCCTCGGCGAGTTGGGCTCTGGTAACGTCAGGTAAGAGCGTTGTTGACACGTACAAAGGCCTGCTATTTTCTTGACCTTGTTGATTGGCTTTGGTTTTTGCCACGCTTGAAGAAGCAGATCTTGAGGTGACAGGTGACTTGGTCGGGTGTGCTTGCGCAGGTAACTCATCCACCTGGGTATGAGTCGCCTGCTTCCAGTCAGAATCTGGATCGTATGGTCCTCTGACGCCTGGAAGATTTCCCAGCACAAGGTCATAGAGGGGTTGATCCATACAAGCCACTTTCAGCATCCCTGTGAAGTACGGCGTGTTGACTTGTACAATAGCTTCCGGGAGATGGCTAGTTGACCTGTCTAGGAGAACGACACTGATTTTCTTGCCTGTCAGGCACACATCAGGAACGAGCTCCCGTCGGACGATTGCCGTGTTGCATCCCGTATCGCGTAAGACTCGAACCTCTCTTCCTAGCAGCAGACCTTCGACCACTGGCATCCCGTCGGCCAGGAAACGTATTGTACCCTGCACGTTCTTGTCGTCGTGGTGACTTGAGCAAGGAATCTTCCCTCCTGGACGCTTGGCTGTTTTTCTAGCACCAGCCCGGGCAGAGTCAGGTTCGCTAAAAGCGCACGAAGAACTCGGTTTGTTGTTCCCATGCTGGTTTCGGCAAGTTTCTGTGACATGTCCCGTTTTACCGCACAACTTGCATTTCAGCATCTGCTTAGGTGGATTGCGGCAGTCAGGAGCCAAATGTCCGAAACGATGACACAGGATACACTTGAGTTGCGGTTTCCGCGACGCTTCGGTAGGCTTTCCACTGGATTCTTTCGCGGGGTCAGGACCTTTTTCTATATTAGTCAAATTCTGCGCCTCAAGGAAGCGATCCGTCAAATTAGCGAGTTCATCTAGTGACTTGCACTCTCGCTCTTTTAAGAAAACAACCAGCTTTGGATGGCAACAACGCAAGAATTGCTCAGAGATTACGTGATCCCTTAGACCTTCATAGGTTTGGGATACGTTTGCCATGTCTATCCAATGGTCGAAATAACTGGTAATTCTTGCTGCTAACTGTCGTCCAGTTTCACCATCTGCTGCTCGTGCTTTCCGAAACTTATCTTGGTAGCCTTGAGCCGTAAACTGAAATCTCTGCAGTAGAGCTTTCTTTACTTTTTGGTAGTCCAGCGAATCAGTGGCAGTCATTCGGCCTATCACGGTTAACGCGTCACCCGTTAGGCACAGGCTAACAGCGAGACCCCATTTTTCTTGCGGCCAATCCTGTCCTGTGGCTACGCGCTCGAATCGCTGCAGATACGCGTGCAGATCATCGCGTTTCTCGTCAAATACAGGCAGTAACTTCTGCGGATTGAGGGGTGAGGAGGTGCTGGGCGCAGTCAAAGCGTCATTAGCTGCTACAGGCATATTCTGAGCTCCTTCCTGAAGCTTTAGCTTAAGCTGCAGAATTTCACGCTGCCTCTCGTCAGCTTCTTTGGCTGCCTCTCGCTCTGCAGCTCTCTCATCCCTTAGCTTAGCCTGTTGGGCCTCAATCCACTTGTTTAGCTCTGCACCCGAGAACCCTAGTTGGAGCCCTATAGCGGCGAGTTTTTCCAAGTCCATGGTGCAGTCTGAACGTGTGTCTGCCTCGAGCGAAACTGTCTTCTTTCCCTGGTTTAACGAGCGTATCCTGGCAGGCTCGCCAGTTTGTGATGTTATTGGGGCAGGACCGCTCCAGAAAGAATCAGACAGCACGCCAGTGCACAAACACACGTCCAACTTCTATTGTACCCTTCACACATGGACAACCCACACATTACGAAGTTCCTAACACAAAAACACGCGGCTAAACTAACTGAATAAGTAGAACGTTCGGCCTACAGTTCAGGTCGTCGGGGTAGTAGCCGGGGCCGTCGTTGATGCCCCGTCGGCAACATTCAGTGGCGAAGTCGACGTTGGGCGGCGTCGTCACCGGCAGTGACGAAGTCGGGAGACGCAGGGTCGCCGCGTCGAACTCCAGTGGCTCAGCGCCACTGTCGACGAACTGGAGCCGACGACCCACGTGTTCCGGCGGCAGGGAGTTGTGCCCTTGAGCACCTGTAGTCCGCCTCGGAAAACCACGCCAGCCCTCCCGGAACAGCGGCGCA